GAGGAGCAGCTGGCTTCAAGGAGGCAGAAGATCACTTCTTGGCTGAGGTGAGTTGCCCTGGGGGCTCGGGGTGCCGGGGCTCTTCCATGGGCAGTGGGATGCCTGTGCCAGCGCTCCAAGGGCATTCGGCAGCTTTGGCCTTGTCTGGGATGAAATGGCCAAGAGAGATGTGGGGAGTGTTGTGCCCAGCATGGTCCAAGGTCCCACAGTAGCATTCGAAGAGGGTGGTTTTAAGCAGCTGAGACAAATCTGCCCCCTGCTCTGCCTGACCCCTCTCCTGTCCCACAGGAGAATTCTTCTGTTCCTCGCCTTCCTGCAGATTGCCTTCCTCATCCTGGGCCTGCTGGACAGGGACATCCTCTACAGGGTCCTGCCACCGAAGCTGGCAGATGCCTTTGGGAGCCGCCTAGCGAGTCCCCGCTTCCTTTGAAATAAAACCAGCAAGAGGAGAAATAAATGTGTGATTGGGGGAGCAGGCGTGACCTTGTCAATGAAGGTCGGAGGGAGGTGGCTGCTGCTTTCCCGTGCCCCACGGCACCTCTGCCTCAGACCTGGCTCTTGACCGTTTTGGAGGCAGGAGGCTCTATCCACCACCCTGCTTTAAGACAGGCGCAATGGAATTTGACCAGCAGTGACCTCCCTTCTACAAGAGGGTTTGGTGTTAGAAGAAACGAGACCAAAGCAGCTGAAAGCGTCAAAAAAGTGCAAATTGAGCTAATAAATATGGATTAAGTATGCTTTGGGGGGGTGTCCTGGTTTTGGCTGGGACAGAGTGGGTTTTCTTCCTAGTGGCTGATGTAGTGCTGTGTTTGGGATTTGCTGGAATGTTGATGACACACTCATGTTTTGGTTGTTGCTGGGTGGTGCTTGGGCTGGCCAGCGACTTCTCAGCTCTCAGCTCTGCCGGGGGCACAGGAAGCTGGGAGGGGACACGGCCAGGACAGCTGACCCCAGCTGACCTAAGGGCTATTCCATACCATAGGACGTCATGCTCAGTGTATAAGCTGGGGGAAGAAGAAGGAAGGGGGGGACATTCGGAGCGATGGCGTCTGTCTTCCCAAGACACCGTAACGCGTGATGGAGCCCGGCTGTCCTGGGGACGGCTGAGCACCCGCCTGCCCATGGCAAGCAGGGAATGAATCCCTTGCTTTGCTTTGCTTGTGCGTGCGGCTTTTGCTTTCCCTATTAAAGCGTCTTTATCTCAACCCACGAGTTTTCTCACTTTTACTCTTCTGATTCTCTCCCCCATCCCACCGTGGGGGGAGTGAGCGAGCGGCTGCGTGGGGCTGGCTTGCCAGCCGGGGTTAAACCACGACAGGGGGTCATGTGAACGAGTGCTCAAACGCAAACGGTAACAAGTGCAGAGTTCCCAGGAAACACCAGAGATCTGCAAAGCCGTTTGGAAATTGTCCTTGGATCAGCTATCGTATCTGGGATAACTTCCAGTATGTCCAGTAAGATCATGGCATGAGCTGTGGGGGTAGCATCTTGTAATGCCAATAGAAGTTGTCTGTCTGTTGGGATGGTCTGCAACGCACAAGGGACCCCCCCATCTTAACGGGAGAGTGGGGATTACTGTGGCGTATGCTGTTGGCATAACACAAAACTGATTCTCTGCTCACATCAAGGTACGGAGCCAGAGCTGACAGCCGTGGGGCCGAGAGCGAAGGTGGTGGGGCTGGTGTGCCGACTGCCCGACCGGCAGCCCCAGGCCGGCCCCAGCGTGCCCCCCAGGGTCCCCAAGCCCCTGCCGGTGACCCTGAGACCCCCCGTGGGGCTGGCTGCCTCCAAGCCCCCGGCCGATGGCGAGAAGGCGGTGGCACAAACGGTGGCATCAAGCAGCAAGGCGCACGCCGGGCCTGCTGCCCAACCCAAGCAGCCGGGCTGGCTGTGACGGGCGCCCCCGGGGGGGGCCAAACCCTGCCGCGCCATCCTGTCGACTGCGTGCCACCCCTTGGGGCCCCGGGGGGGCATCAGGGCTGCACCCACCCCGCTGGAGGAGCAGGAGGTGTCCGTGCCCATCACACCCCAGCAGTGGCCTGAGCAGGAGCACATGAAGAAGCTGGCCCAGGAGGAGCGGCAGCGGGGGGCCCCGCGGATGTCACTGGGCCAGCTGCAGGTTTTTGTGCAGAGGGAGATCGACATGGAGAGGGCCTATGCATATGGCTACCCATAACCCACCGCTCCAGCACCATTCCCCGTAGCACCCATGCGCAGAGGAGATCTGGAGGCAGAGACCTGCACCCACCCACTCCAGCCCCAGCCCTCTCCCGGACCCCCCCTGTTTCTTCCTTAGGTCATTAAAAGAGTTGGGCGTTCGCTTTGCAGCGCCACTCTGCCCGCAGTCGTTTGTGCAGCGGGAGGGAGGGCAAGGGGTTAACGCAGCCCCTGCCCACCCTGTGGGTGGCTCATCTGGGCTGGGGATGGCCACCCAGAGCATGGGTAGAGGGGACGCCGCTCTGGATGGCAGGTGCCTGGGGGAGAAGCCACGCTGATTACAATCAATGCTGGGGGGCCCCAGGCCGCCACCACAGGGCACTGTGGGACGTCAAGAAATTGGGGAAGTACTTGGAGCACCCCGAGATGGAGTTTCTGTATCCTGTACCCAACAATTTCAAGTGACTATGAGAGGTCTTCTCTCCCAGCTGGGTAGGTGCAACAGTCGCCTGGTATCCCCGAGCATCATCTAATTCCTCGTACCTGGAATTAGACCTCTTAATCTGGAAAAATGTGGTCAGGGCTCAGCTTACGCTCTCCCCACAGGCACCTGATGGACGCCCCAGTTTGGAAAGGGGAGACAAATCCTCCCCACCCCTCAAGCCGTGTTCTGCATCTGCCGCTGCCGGTCAGTAGCCCCAGCCCCCGGCCCCTCGCCCGGCCCCAGGCTGCAGCCGCGGGGCCCCC